ACTTTAGCGTTTACAAATCAAAATGACATACAAAAGTTTTCAAAAGTTAATATATACACATGGTTTGCCAAATCAAAAGAGAAAACGCCCCCAAAAGTACACTTAGGGTTTTAAAACAGTGAGCTATACAAAAGATATGTCCAACTAGCTCAGTTCGGCAACCGATTATCAAATCCAGACCAAAAGTGTTTATTTTCCTGTAAGGAAAACAAAAGGAACAGAAAGGGGTGAGCTTGCGCTCAATGAGGTACCAAACAGATAGCATTAAAATCATGGCATTTCACGTTTAGCAAATCAAGTACACATGCCAGATATAAAGCAAAGGAACCAATGATTCAAATCAGAAGGATACGGGTGGCTCTCAGGAGCCAAGTTTCCAGCGCAGTACTTGATCTAAACCGGTTGACTCTCCGTCAACGTATAAAGAACCAACGCGTCCGTAGATCCCCCTTTACACCGAATTCCGTCCACCAAACACCCCTTTACCGGGCCGCTCACCGTAACCGAACAGAAATGGTAATACTCGAGTATACCCGGAATCAAGGGTCTCAATACCCAAAATCCCGAACAGACTACCGTGGTTCGTTATCTAATCGTCCAGGCCCTTGCCGGCCCGACTCGAATAACTTAGCCACAGGATTGAGCTCATAGATCATAGAAATCCGAACAGATGCAGACATAGATAACAGATTCAAATTTTGCATAGTAAATTGGCATATGATCAGACTAGAGAACGAGTGTGATAAAGTACACCCTCGTCTCGAACAAATAAACAGATTGCAGAGCAAAATCAAGTTAAACAACAATGAAGGGGAGTGGTACACTCACCGATTCAACTTCAAAAAGTTTCACTTCAGATTGGCCTTAATCGCCAAGAAACCCTAAAATAATCAAAATAAACCAATTGAAGGTTTTACTTCCAGAATCGAGTAAACAGAATGCACATGTGAGGCTCGACTACACGTCGTACGCCTTGCCAAATAAATACTAATGCAAGGGTGCAAAACATGATTTTCTTGGAAACGAAAAGGTAGCATGAAGACCTAGGCGCAAACAACCCAAAAGCCTTTCATTCTACCAAAAGGCAAACCTAACTTAAAGGAACCAAACGGCCTAGAAAATCGGGCAGCACTTCCCCTAAATCTCTTACTTTTCCAGCCATTAAGGCTACATTCTATCCTCAAATCAGTCCCAACATCTCACACAAAATTCATCTCATTTCCCAAAAGCCGTTCACTAGGCTCAAAGTGGTACAAGTACAAAAATTAACTAGGAAACAACCGAAATGAAAGCAAGCCCTAAAGAGACTCGATAACGAGTCATAAACCAATGCCAACCACAACCCCAATAAGGTTTCATATGCATATATAAGCATCATAGGTAACCAGAAATTAAGAAATGGCTTTAACTTAGGCCTTAACAAAAAAACGTATTTGACCTCATAATGCGGTAATGACACCACTTTCACTACGGTTATCGAATGGGGTGCAAGACCCACCGTTTCGAAGCTATGAAACAGAGCTACAACAATGTAGAAGGTCGCTCAATCCAGTTCCTGGCCCAACTAGGTCAAAAATGCCAAACACTAAACCAGAATCACCAAAACATGTTTGCAAAACACAGAAAACTGTAATCGGTATATCTCAGTCCATACAAGTCCAAATGCCGAACTTCCAAAGGCATAAGTTACCTAAGACATCCAACTACATTTCATCAGAAGACACCAACTTCAAAATCCAAATCAAAACCAGTCAAATGGCCAATTACTATCGCAGTTTTCGCATTCTGTCCAAAGCAGAACAGCTACAGTAATTTCGTCATAACTCATTCTACATTAATCCAAATGACCTGAAATTTTACAGGCACCTCCAACACATCAATACCTACAACTTTCATGTTTTAAGCAAAGTCTAATTCGGCCTCTAACCTAGTGATCTAAAACCGGACAGAATTGGGATTTTATGAACCCTAACTTTCCATTTTTCACACCAAATCCAAAATTGATTGCATTTAACCACAATTCACACTCACTAGAGTCATTTCCAACCATTACAATTCATCATACAAGCCCCCAACATCAAGATCATATTAAACCAGAAAAATTCCCAATAAAATAAAAACTTCACCAAAACAAGCCAAATCAAGAGATAAATCACATTTTCAAACACTCAAGCCACTTCTAAGCATCATATAACCATTATTAGAGGTAGTAGGGTGTTCAAGCAACACTTACCAAGAAATCAAGAGAGAGAGGATTGTGGACACCTTAGCTTCTCCAAAAATTTCACCAAATCACTTACTAGCACCAACTAGAGGGAATTTATGGAGTAGAAACTAGTTTAAGTAATTTTCTTGGAAGATTTGAGCTAGTTTGAAGCTTGAAACTTGGAGAAGTTTTCTTCCTTTTCCTTGCAAGAGGTTCGGCCATGAGAGAGAGAAGAAATGGTGATTTTTGTGAAATTTTAAGATATTTAATCACTTGGTAAAAAAAGTCAAAAAGTGAATAGTGTCCAACCAATCAAATGGTGACACTTGTCACTTCATAAATGAATCTCTATCTCTTTGTTTCCCCCTCATACCAATCAAATAACATCCTCTACTTATCTCTTAACACCCGATAAATTAACTCCAGTATCCAAAACTTAACCTTATTGGCCGAATTTTTCCGAACTTTTCGCACTAGTGGGTCCCACGTCCACTATTTACTCTTAATTTTCTAAAATTTCTCCAATGCTAGGAAAATCATCTTAAAACTATAATTGCTCATAAAATTCACTAAGAAAATATTTCTACGCCAGAAAATGCAGAAAACATGCAATTAAGGGGAAATAAACCCTAGGAAAATAATTAGGGTTTTACGGGTTCTCACAGAGAGAAAAAGCGTCCGCGTCCGCGTCGCGCGTCCGCGTCCGCGTCCGCGTCCGCAGCGAAACAATGGAAAGCAAAAGAGAGACAAGTACTGGTATGAGAAAAATATTTTAGAGCTTTTTGTACTATTAATTGAATTTAATAATTGGAATTTGGGTAAGAATTTACGGTAGCAGTAGAAAAACGTTTTAAAGCCATAATGATTGTTGAAAAGTTAGGGTTTTGGATGGTTGTGGAATGCATGTCCAAGGCATTATATATTTTTGATGGTACTGTTAGTGGGTCTGCATATTTTACTGAAAAGTGAGTGTTGTGGGAACCCTAATGTTCCTTCTGTTGAAGACATTGTGGTCCCAAATGCTAAAAATGTTGTTAATAATTAATGGGTTAATTATTAAAGATTTATTTTTTTATTTAACCAGAGTGTGGTCCAAATGACATTTTGCCCGACTCATTTTCCTTGGCGATACACCATCAGGGTGAGTTCAGAAGCTCTCCCAGCAAAGAATACGTGGGAGGAAGGGTAGACTATATAGATAACTGTAATGCTGAAAAATGGTCACTACAAGTGCTTGATGAATGTGCAGTAAGACTAGGATACCCGAAAGATGCTCGTTTTGGGTGGTATGGTAGGATTCCTGGTATGCCGCTTGAGACTGGACTATATTTTTGCATGTGTGATTGGGATTGTGATCTTCTAGTAAACACATTGCCACTGAATAGAGTGGCAGAGGTTTATCTACAAGTTGGCACTGATGATAATCCAGTGAGGTTTCAAACTCAAAAAACAGAGTATGTAGACATGCCTGAAGGCCACAACACTTCTGCTAAGCAGGATACAAAAGATAAAGAAACATCTGAAATGGACAGTGACATAGCAATACTGGAAGAAGTTGACTTCAATGATATGGACAACAGAAGGAAAAATGTGGCTGATGACAACAGTAATGAAGTTGCTAACAGTCATGAGAATTTTGATTCCAAAAGTCCTAATTTGCAACAAGAAAGGACAACAAGAGAGATAATGCAGGGGAAGAATCACAAATGGCAACTGATAATGATATCCAAGCTGATGAGACTGATGTGCAGGCTGATAATAATGTGCAGGCTAATGATGATATGCAGGCTGATGACAAGTTCGATGATCCAGATTATACGGGGCAAGTTGAGGATGATGTTTTATTTGATGAAGCCTTGAAGATTGGACAACAATTTGGTGTGCATAAAGGAGCTCCTGAAGTTGGACCTTCTACCAGCAAAGACAGAAGAAAGAAGAGAGCAGGTAGGGAAGGAGAAGCTGTTGACGAAGTAAATGTTTGTGATGAGCCTGACATGGTTAATGTGGAGGATATGCAGTCAGAATATGAAACAGATTGTTCTAGAGAGTTGAAGAGTGAGAGTGAATCCGAAGATGAAGATGGTCGTAAGAGAAATAAGAAGCCTAAATTTTCAGTTTTTAATGAGAAAACTGAAATGAGAAGTCCAAGATTTAAGGTAGGCCAGAGGTTTTCATCAGTTGTTATTTTTAGGTTGGCTGTTAGAATCCAGGCTATTATGGAGGGAAGGGATGTCCAATTCATAAAAAATGACACATATAGGGTACGGGTGAAATGCAGAGGCTGTGAATGGCAAATTTTTGGCTCAAAAATGCAAGGTGAAAACACTTTCCAGATCAAGACACTTAGCAAGGAGCACACCTGTGGACGTGTCTTCCATAATAGAAACATGACATCAAAACTAGCTACCAGGTTGTTTGTAGATGAGGTGAGAAAAACACCATCCATGACAGTCCAGGAGCTCATGACTAGGGTGACTGAAGAATTAAATGTAGATTTCAGTCTTAAACAAGGCTATAGGACAATGAAAAAAGTAAGAGACATAATTGAAGGCAGTCATGAAAAACAGTATGCATTGTTAGAGGACTTCTGTGGTGAATTGAGGAGAGCAAATCCTGGATCGACAGTGTTCGTTGAGACGGATGAGGACGAGGATGGGATTGTCAGATTCAAAAGGCTTTACATGTGCTTAGAGCCATTGAAGAGAGGATTTCTAAAGGGCTGTAGGCATTGGATTGGGTTGGATGGTGCTTCTTAAAGGATACATATGGTGGACAACTACTTACAGCCGTGGGTATGGATGGGGATAATAAAATGTTTCCACTAGCTTTGTCAGTTGTTAGAGTGGAAAATTATGACAATTGGAGCTGGTTTTTGGGATTGCTTGTACAAGATTTGGAAATTTCAGATTCCAGTAATTGGTGTGTCATGACTGACAAGCAAAAGGTATGATAAATTGTATTAGCACTTATTTATACAGCAACTTTTTATTTAATAACTCAGGTACAACTTTTTATTTAAGCCAAGTTGTATTCAAACGTGTACAGGGACTAGTTCAGGCAGTTAGAGACAAAATGCCACAAGCTGAGCACAGGTGTTGTGTGCAACATCTATACACCAATTTCAAACAGATTCATAGAGGCCTGGCCTTAAAAGAAAGACTTTGGAAATGCGCAAAAGCTTCTTATGTTACCCACTGGAAAGTCGAAATGGAACAGTTGGGGCAAGAATCTGCAGCTGCGCATTCTTGGCTTGATGAAAAAGATCCCAAAACTTGGTGTAGAGCCCATTTTAGATGTGGATTGGATTGTGATATTTTGGTGAATAATATGTGTGAGTCCTTTAATGCAGTAATTTTAAAGGCCAGGTCACTACCAATCATATCCATGCTGCAGACCATTTATTTGTACCTGCTGAAGAGGATGGAGAGGAACAGGGAAGCAATGTCCAAGCACGAAGGTTAAGAAACATTTTATTTATTTACTAGTATTAAGGTCAGTTCATAACTTCTTTGAGAAATTTATGACCAATTTATTGTTTTCATTTTGTATTCAGGTCTTCTTTGTCCAGCAATATTTGAGATATTGGAAAAGGCTAAGCAAGAGCAGTGTATGTGCATAGCGTCATATGCTGGGACAATGAAGTATCAGATAAGCTGTCCATTTGGGGACCAGTATATTGTTGACATGGCTGCCAAAACCTGTTCATGTAGAAAGTGGCAATTAAGGGGAATACCATGTGGCCATGCTGTAGCTGCCATCAACAGGAGACATGAAGCACCAGAGAAGCATGTTTCCAACACCTACTTGAAGATCACGTATCTACAAAGTTATGAACCTGTACTTAATCCAATCAATGGTCCTAATTTGTGGGAGCACATAGACCTTCCAGCAATGAAGCCTCCGACTTATAGAAGATTTGCTGGAAGGCCAAAGAAAATGAGAAAAAAGGCTTCAGAAGAAGACAGACGGGACAGCTGTGTCAATCCAACTAAACCTCACAAGGTTAGCAAGGTTGGAACCATGATGAGCTGCAGCCGCTGCAAAAAATACGGACATAACAAAAGAGGATGTCCGGATAAAAATAAGCAAACCACTGAGGGGACAACTACAAGTTCAGCAAAGGAGAACAGTGATATTGGAGATACAGGTCCATCTATGCAGCCAAGTACTAACGAGGCTTGTCCAAGTGATGTGACCGTTGACATACTTGGAGTAAGTACGCAACAGAGTCACACAGGTCCATCTCAAAATTTGGATGCCAATCAGCCAAAACAAGGGGCACAAGAACCAGTGACAAAAAAGGAAGAAAATGCTCATTTTGTCGTAAGCATGGTCACTCAAAGAATAATTGTAAGTTGAGGCAATGGACCTTTAAGCTCACTGGACATGACTGGAGACTTGGGATTCAAAACTGTAAAAATACGGTCTGATGATCTGGAAAACCCATATAATCATGCTCAAAATAGTTCTGAGCATGTGGAAAAGAGTCCTACAACAACTCATGTAAGTGGTCTCCATACATCAGGTCTTTATTTATGGGTGTCATGTCTTATTGATTCATGTTATGTGCTTGTTTGCAGTTAAGCTCCAAAGCTGATGGTCGCAAACTTTATTCCCACAGCCACGGAGTAACGATGAGAGCACCACACTCATACGTGGACTTGGGGACAGCCTCTCATTCCAGCAGTGGACTTAAGCCAGCACAATTCACATGGCAAGGCAATTTGTGTGTTAACCTGTCTACATTACAGACAGCTGCGGGACATGCGAAGGAGTCACTTGGAATTGAAAATGTGCAGCTCCATGGGGATGGAAACCAATCTGTTAAGTTGGGAAAATTGCAGCAATAGGCCAAATAGCCTTCAAGCATGAACTGACTGATGCTGGACAAACCAACTCAAGAATTGTACAGGCATATAGCCTTTTTTATTTTGCAGATACAATCAAATTGGGCAGTAAAAGCCTCTGTTTTGCTAGTCCAGATGTGGCGAACTTTTGTTCAACTCATATAGTCCATTGGAACTAAGAATTTTTTTGTTAATATGGAATTTTTGTTAGCCTCTGTTTTTGGTAGCCTCTGTTGTGGAACTCATATAGCCTTTGTCTTGCTAGTCCAGATGGGTGAAATTCAGAGGCTGTTAATGTGGAATTTTTGTCATTCCTGGTATTGCTATTATGTATTGGATGATTTGTTGAATGATCAAAGGTTTTTGCTGAAAATTTTATGTTCTGGTTGATTGCTGTTGTTAATGTGACATAGATTACTTGCAATAAACTTTACAAATTGGGACACTAAAATCCCTAAACAACAAATTCTGATTACATAGCAGGTCCAACGTTCACAATTATGGGACATAGCAGGTCCACTATATCCCTAAATTTGATACAATACATTTAAAACCAGCACTTTTAGAGAAAGTGCTGCTAATTACATAGTCAGCAAAAGCAAGAATTTCCTTCCTGCACCACTCAAAAGGTCCACTACTTAGCAATGACAGACAAAGGTGGTCCCATATTTGAGCAAACAAAACGGCAGTCCGGCATAAGCGGTCGCTTCTTCTACAACTCATTTTGGACCTTCTCCCCCAGATTTGAACAAAAACAACCACATGACAATGGCAACCCAGTGGATAATCAAGTACATCCTTAGCTTTCTCACTTTCGATTGTTGGCACCTTGAATTTTCTTTCAACCTATCCAACTCAGCTTCCATCTTGTTCATCGACCTTAGCAATCCAGGTATTATTTCTTTTGACCTTTGACACATCTCAGGATCAACCCAATCCCAGTATATGCAGCCTCCTTGTTCCTAGTTTGACAAGAACATTATGTTTGCAGACAAGATTAGGTGGCTGCAATTCATACAAACCCAAAATAAAAAACAAGTATAAACACAAAACCCTAATTTCCCTTACTCTGTACTTGGCACATCGACAAAACCTTCTTCCTGGGTTCATGGCAGTCCATGATGTCATCATCAATGTTTGCTTTCCACAATCACAAAATTGCCTCACCATTTCTCTTTGTTTGTTGAACCATGCGTTGGGTTCTCCTTTTCTTCTTCCTGCCTTGTGGATAGCAGAATGACAGCTTGGGTCTCTCAGCATACCGACCTGAAGTGTCCTTTTATGATTTGGATCGGGTCTACATTATCCATCTGAAGTGGGTAGCATGGAGGGAAACTTTCCCTCCATATTTCACCATCTTTTTTTAATCTATATATGTGATTTTTTGTGAATTTTCATTGTTGCCCTCAGTCAAAGGAGAGTGTTTGCCACGCTCTTCAACCACCAACGGCATTCAGGATTCTGTCAACAATTTTCCTTAACTGGGAGCAATTCATAAGTTTAGGGATTTAAGTGTCCCATTTTGAAGTTAAGGGACTGAAGTGGGTAATCGCCCAAAGTTTGAGGGGACAAAGTGGAATTAACCCTTTATAAACCCTAAATCATAATTCATATATCCTTAATCCAAATTTATAAATTGAAACCCTAATTTATAAATCCCAAATCCAAATTTATAAATCTTAAACTCTAATTTATAAAGTCAAAATCCTAATTTATAAGGTCAAAATCCAAATTACTAAATCTTAAATACTAATTTATAAAGCTAAAATCCTAATTTATAAAACTTGAAATTTAATTTATAAACCCTAAATTGTAATTTATAAACCCTTAATCCAATTTATAAATAAAAAATGCTAATTTATAAAGCCTAAACCCTAATTTATAAAGCCTAAATGCAAATTTATAAATCTTAAACTCTAATTTATAAAGTCAAAACCCTAATTTATAAACCCTAAATCCAAATTAATAAATCTTAAATACTAATTTATAAAGCTGAAATCCTAATTCAAAAAGCTTGAACCCTAATTTATAAACCCTAAATCATAATTGATGATCCTAAACAAAAAAAATGGTCCTAAAATGTATTATGCTTTTAAGCAAAAATTAAGTTAAAAATATACTATTTTGTTTTTGCCACAGATTTAAATTGAACACAGTTCGATCTAGGCCCATGTAAGTGTACACTTTATCAACCAGCTCGAAATAACCTATGCGATTTTTTACTAAAATGGCTTTTTTGCATCTCAGAGGATCATATGAAAATGTTCCTTCGATTTCTACTATTTTTCCTCCCCAATAAAACTGAATCACCAATGCGAGATCCGTGGACATATTTGTACCTAATTTTATGAATATTATTTATTTTAGATTCAAGCACTTAGGTGATTCTCAACATAAATTTAGATTAACTAAACTAAAATTTATCAGATCCATAAAAAAATAATCATGAACGAAATAATATGCAGTAGTATTAAATCGTAGAATAATTAAACAAGAATGAATTTGTCATTAAGATAAAATTAACATCACATATGCTATGAATATGTAATAATTTAATGATTCCTATTTAATATTAATTAAACACTTATTGCTATTATTTTGCACTATTACTACTATTAATATTTGTAAGTAATTACTACTACTTATGACTTTTTTTCTTATTAATATCGCACTTGTTACTATTCTTTTTCAGTATTACTAGTATGCAATGCGTAGGAGTTTGATACATGTAATTTAAGATAATTGGTACTTTGTGTTTTATGTAATAACAACATAAATAAGAAAATGAATTAACATAAATTTATTAATAGGTGAAATGAATTAAAATTGTCATTGCAGAAATTGAAATGATGCAATTCAACTAAAAGTTTTTTGAAATAAGAATGAAAAACTAAATTGAAATAAATCTATTCATTATTTTCAGAGAAATAAATACATTTTTTTATATTTTTAATAAAAAAGCTAAAAAAATTCACTTTTTTGTATTGAGTTTTTAAATCCAAGGAATTTTTATAATGAATTTGAAGAAGATAAAATTATCTGCTAGGACTAAATTATAAGTTAACTGCAAGTTTTCTTGAATGTAGTTACAATAGAATCAAATAAGTTAACGAACATTTAAAAATTTATTTGTAGTTGAGGGTGCTGATTGTAGTCAGAACTCATTGGATTATAGCCAAATCCAAATAAAAAAATATTGTTGTAAATGAGGTCATTTGTTTTACTAATCGGTGAAATGAATAGTAATACAATTTTGTTGAAGTGGTGGTATTAACAATAAGATGAATAGATAGATTTTAGACATTTAGTCACTTATATAGAAACATTAAAATTAGCACAAATATCCAACGAAAGAGCAAACAAATGCCCATAAGTAAAACATCAAGTGTCAGGTATGCCTAGAAGTAAACCAACAAGCCATACATATAAATGCACGAATAGATCAATTTTATTGCTAAAGCAAATCATCGATACAAATAACAAGCTACTAATCAAATGCATCACGTATTTCCAGAAGCGAAACAATTTCACATATAACACATACATAAACCAATGACTTTTATAAGCAAAGTAAATCAGCAGCACAAATTACACTGTAATAAGAATCAATAGCACAAACTACACAGTAATAACAAAATAAATTCCACACCTAAACACATTTAGATGAAAATATTGACCAGCGTTGCATACTACTACTAAACAATTGCGTACCATATTCCAAATATTCCCAGCAGAGCTTCTCCTCACAATTGCTCCAAATCTGTTAAAGTAAAGCAACACCATTACAACCACACCAAAAAAAAATTGTATGTAAATAACACCCAATTTAACAATGCCTCCATTGAATTCATAACAAAAACTACCATTTAAGAAGATAAATGACACCATCAAAGCGGAAACAACCCACAACACTTACCCCAAACTGAACAACCAAGAATAATTTCGCCCAACGAGCAAGGTGGAAAGCAAAGTGTGAGAACCCAAAAATTTTCACATTTTCTTAGCATTGCTTTATTTCTTTGCTTCCGTTTTTATATTTTCCTTCAATATATTAATTTCCTATACATTTTTATAAGGAAATATAGTTTTCAAATAATTTCCTTGGTACAAGTTAGTCCGCGTTAAATTTGAAGTGCGTTATAGACGTGGGACCCATTAGTACGGTAAGTGCGAGATAAATTTGGTGACTAAGTGATATTATTTTTACAAGGTGCTAAGAGATAATTAGAGGTTGCTTAGTGTATTAATAATGGAGGGACAAAAGGATAAGTTTTACTTTAAAATGTGCTAGCTGTCGCTTTGTCATTGGACCTTGGACTTTGACTACTATTTATTACCTTTACTAATAACCAAAATTTGACCCAAAATCCCTTATTATTTCTTCCTTCTTGGTCGCACCTCTTGGAAAGGAAAAGGAGAAAAATCTTCAAATTTCTTCCTTCTATTTCTTGCTCAATCTCACAAACCAATCGTTAAAACTTGGATTTGCTCCATAAAAACCTTTTTCTTGGT